AGGAAAATTTAGGAGTGAACATATCTAGACCTTCAGACTATCTTCGATACCACTAATATATACAGAGCATTTGGCGGGGTTGGCTTCTAATCCAGATACCCTACTAAACACCTGGAGATAGTTGTATAGCTTCATTATAGAATATACATCATCTCTAGGAAAGAGGAGGAGGTCATCAGCAAAAATCAAATGTGTAATCCCCAACCTATAGCACTTAGGATGATACTTGAAGAGGTTGTCATTCTTTAGTGCACTTAATTTTCTTGAAAGATATTCCATCCCAATCACAAACAAATAAGGAGAAAGAGGGTCTCCTTGTCTTAATCCCCTCTCACCTTTAAAATATTCATGTAAAGAACCAATTAGTGCCAGTGAGTACTTAGGGGAGGAGATACATTCTATAATCCAGTTTATCATGATGCTAGGGAACCTCAAACCTTCCGGCATTGATCTAATGAAATCTCAACTGATAGTATCAAAAGCCTTTCTCAAATCCACATTTAGAATAGCTATAGGAGAAACAAGTTTTCTACCATAATGCTTAACTAGTTCATGAGCTAAGAGAATTCTACTAGAAATAAGCCTTCCTTTGACAAAAGCGCTTTGTGCATCATTTATCAAATAACCCATGACTTTTTGTATTCTTCCAGCTATAATTTTTTATATGATTTTATCTATCAAATTGCAGTATGAAAATGGGTCGGAAGTCAGAAGGTTCTTGGATTCAGAATTTTGGGAACCAGTGTGATAGTTGTAGAGTTAAACGTACCAAGAAGCTTTCCTGAATTGAAGAATTCCTACACTTGAAGATATAGATCATCACCAATAACATCCCAAGCTGATTTTAAGAAGGCTGCATTATAACCATCTGGACCAGGTGCTTTTGTTTCAGACATTGAGAACACAACATGCTTGATTTCATCCCTATTGACAGGAAGACTCAGGGTGGCACTTTGAGTAGGAGATAGAATAGGACCATTAGAAATTACTCCCAAATCAAGTTTTGTAACAGTGGTAGCAGTGCCCAAGAGCCTCTTATAATAATCAGTGAATTCTGTGATGATTTCAGACATATCAGTAATTCTAAACGCATTCTCAGTGTAAATTGATAACACCATGTTGCGGTGCCTCTTGATTTTCATGACAGAATAAAAAAACTGAGTGCACTTATCACCATGTAAGCTCCAATTGATATTAGCTTTTTGTTTGTAAAAGGAATTCTCACAATTAAGCAATCTAACATACGTTTTGATACATTCCTTCTCCCTGGTGATCAGCCTTGGGTTGAGAAGATCAACATTCATTTGTTTCTGGATGTTATTTAACTCTTCTTTGGCTCTTAGAACTTGTTTCACTGATATTCATAAAATGCTTTTTATTCAGCTCTTTTAGGATAGGCTTCAGGTACTTGAGCTTTGTGTGGAACTTATACATATTGTATCCCCTAATATTTTACTCCCAAATTGATTTAACTGCTAGAATAAATTTAGGGTGCTTGGTCCACATATTATATTTTGCTCCCAAATTGATTTAACTGCTAGAATAAATTTTGGGTGCTTGGTCCACATATTGAATAATCTAAATGGCCTTTTGCCTTCAAAATTATATAAATTTTTTTTTACTAAACATCTATATATGTATTATTTTTTTAGAAACTATTCGAAATATTTCTTTTTTTTATATATATATGAAAAGCAAAATGAGGAAATATGTGTATATATATATATATGTCTTTTTTTTTAGATTTTTTTTTTTTTGAAAAGAAAAGAGAAAGTAAAATCCTAACAAATCCTACTTTTTTTTTTAAATTCGTTTTTTTTTTTTTTTGATAAAAGGAAGGAAAATTGTCCCAGGGAAGCCAATTTTTTTTTTTTTTTTGGAAAAAAGTAGTTCCTTTTTTTTTTGAGAAGAGAAGAGAAAGGAAAAACCTAATTAAAACAATTCCTACTTTTTTTTAAGTTCGCTTTTTTTTAGATAAAAGAAAGGAAAATTATCCCAGGGGAGCCAAAAAAAAAATTTTTTAAGGAAAGAAAAAAAAATTTTAGTTTTTTTTTTTAAGGAAAGAGAATTAGTTTTTTTTTATATGAGAAGATAAAGAAAAAGAAAAATCCTAACTAAAACAAATCAAATCAATCACTTTTCAATCAACTCTAATTCTAAGGTTTAGCCTAACTCAACTAGACCAGCTCCTAACCAAAAACTCCTACAGTGAAAAGATGAAAGTTTTACCCAGGTAGTTAGCCAGATAAGGATAGTACTAGAGGGTGATCAGTGATCAATTAAGTACCTCGTTCCTTGCGGAGCGCATTACGCAACCCCTAAACCTTGCCTTAGACACCAACTAATCTGAGAAAACTTAAACCGGTTCACTTAAGGATTTCTTGTTCCTTATTGAGCTCGAATCTTTAGGGGCCAACGTCTAATGAGTTTTATTAGGCTCGGGTTGTGTAGTGAGGAATTAGTGATTTTGGGCTAAGGAAAGGGTGATGAAATCCCCACCTTATCTTGATTATGGGATTTTGCCCTTAAAAATATTTTCAAGTGTGTGCCAAACCAAGATGCTCAAATCACTTTGGTGAATTCCTACTAATTATATGAAATGCAACCCTAGAAATTAAAAGCGACTAAAAAGGATGATAAAAGAAAATCTTTTTTTTTTAATTAGGGTTAACAATCAAACAAAAGAGAATGGGGAATATTGTTTGAATTTATTATCTTGTTAGTATTTATTAAAGTGGAGGGTGGATTTTATTATGGTCAACAAAAATAAAATCTTTTTGTTTTTTTTTTAATCCTAATTGTCTCTAATTGTGAGAAACTAACAAAAGGTGTGGAATTGAAAATATTAGAAAGAAGACTTACCACAAGCGAATCTCCAATTCCTCAATCTCCAATTCTTTGGTCTTTAATCTCCAAGTAGTTCTTTCACAAAAACGCAAAAGTTAAAGAACCAAAATAATAAAATCCTATTTTAGCACCTTCCCCGGCAACGGCGCCAAAAACTTGATACGGCATAATTATGTACCAAAATTGCAAGTGCACAATTTATCAAGTTATAGTATAAAAAGATATCGATCCCACGAAGAAGGTGATTTTAAGAGATTATTAAACTTGGTTCTTATATTTTGTGCGTGACAATTAGGAATAAAGAATAAGTGTGATTGTATGAGTGGTTGTTTTGATTTATATGCAAGAGGTAATAAATTGAATTTTAGAGGAGAGAAGGAAGAATTAAAGAATAAATGAAATCATAAGGCAAGAAATATGAATTAATAAAATCAAGAAATAAAACCAAAAATGAAAAGAAAATTTAAGAAAGTTAAGATGAAGGATTCAAAAGAGGTAAGAAATCTAGAATATAATCCACTAACCAATTTCAATTACAAAATATAAACTATTCTCTTTTTATCATATTTCAACTTAGATTTATTAAGCATAGATTATCAAACCATTTAAGGAAAGTGTAACCTATCAAATTATCATCTAAGCTAAAATTACTATTCATGATAAGAACAACAACATGATAATAATCCTAGAATTCATAAGCATAACCTATCAAACCATTTAAGATAAGCATAGATTATCAAATTCTTCTTCTACCGATTAGTTCTCTAGTTGATTATCCTAAACATGAACATTTTAAGTACAAGAGAATAATTCATACAATATAAAAGAAATTAGACTAGTTTCATACAATTCTAAGATTCTTACAAGAATTAAATTCACATCTTAAGAAATAAAAACAAGAAAAAGAAGACTAATTACAAAATTAAAAAGAAAAGAAAAATCTAAACTATGAACAAGAAATAAATCTAATTACAAAGAAAATAAAAATCTAAACTACAAAATAAATTGCAGAAATTAAATGCAAGAAAAATAAATCTACTCTATAAATTAAAGTGCAAAAAGAAAATAAAAAAGACAAGAAAGTAAATCTATACTACAAGCATGAATTTAAATCTAACTAATAAGCAATAATAAAGAAATTACAAAAAAGAAATAAAAGAGAAAAGAAATGCAAACATTTAAATTGCTCTTCATCTCCATCCTCATCATTCAACAAGAGGAGAAAGAACAAATTTAAAGAGGAAAAAAATTATTTTTATTAATTACAACTAAAGTTATAATTTTTGGAAGGCCTTCTCAATTAAGAGTAGCCCTCCTCTCCAAAAGGAGTTTACAAAATTTTCACACTCTCTAACCCCTCACCCTCTACCCCTATTTATAGTAATCTTCAATGAATATGAGCCATTGGATTTGTCTTGAGCCCCAAGAAACAATCTTCACCTTTGAATTTATTTTTTGTTCTTCTCTAGCCCAAATATAGGAGGTCCAATTGATTTTCATTTACAAATCCGGTCCACTGCAGCAAATCAGGCCCATTCATTTTCTTGTGATTCAAAGTTGCATCAATGTCCGGCCTAATGCAGCAAAGAAAGAATCCGGCCCATTTGGTTTTTGATTTTTTTTTTTTAACTCTGCAGCAAGTAAACATATGTCCGGTCTTCAAAATCAATTCCGGCCCATTGTTGTTTTCACAATCAAGTCCGGTTTCAATTGCAGCAAATTTCATTTTTCATTTTTTTTTTTTTGCTTTTGAGTCCGGCCCATCCAATGCAATCTGCAGCAACATTTGATTTGCAAACATCCGGCCCACTTTTGTATTAATTCCCAAGTCACCAAGTCCATGTGATTCAATCAATTCTCCGGCCCAACTACATGCTTTTCTTGTGAAAATCCAATGCAACAATTAATTCATGAGAAGGTCCGGCCACATGGAGATCTGCAGCACTCAAGTCCTTGAGAAACAAATGCAAACATTTAGTGATGGAGGATTATTCTTATTATTATTTTTTTCTTCTTTGGGCCATCATTTGCTTGATGGGCTTTCAATATAGGCTTCTAAAATGCTGCAAAATAGAGAAGAGAGATTTTGAGGGGTTTTTACATTTAATAATACTAGTATGGTGCACGTGCGATGCACGTGTATTAAGTTTCATGTTTATATGTAGCCCCAAAGTTCTTATTGATAATGAATGAAAAATAAATTGTGGTGCAAGAGGAGAAGGAGAAAGTAGATTTAGCAAGTGTGAAGAGGCGAACTGTTATGACTTTCCTATAGAAGGCTATGGAGAAGTTACAATATTAGAAACAAAATACATGTAGAATAAACTTTTTGTTCATCACACCTCCACACTCAATGTGAATGAACAATTCACAGAATACCACCTCACAAAAGTATTCTACTTCTCGTCCCACTCGCCGTTCTTATACGAAATCAACGTATCCACTATGTGTATCTGAACAACAAAAACGCGAAGGAAGAAGTTACGATATTAGAAACAAAATACATGTAGAATAAGTCAATACATACTAACTCGAAGAGAAGCTATACCTTGGGGTCAAATGAATGTAGCTTAACCATCTGTGGATTTTGGATCAATTTGGCGTCACTCTCAATCCAGGTAAATGGGACTGCAACATCTTTGTCGGTGTAGGCTAACACGTCGAAGACACATTCAAATGCAAAGCAAATCTAAACCAAAAAAAAAATTGGGGGGAAAAAGTGTTTCAAAAAAAGATTAAAGCTGTTTACATGGTTCATCAAGGCAAGGCAAGTAAGTGAGGCAAGAAACAATATGGCGCATGATTGCTTGTATCTCCCTCATGATTTCCTTATCACTCTTTTCTCAGCTAACCCTTAAATAGTTTTTTTTCTTTCTTAGTATGAATTTTTGCAAATAAGAAATTATAAATTTGTAGCTCTTTCATCTCTAGATGAAGGAATGTTTTTTTCTTTTCAATTTTGTTTCATTAGTTAAGTAAAGCATGCATATGTAATTTTAGGGTATCTAGTGGCCTAACTTAAAATTTTCTCTGTGCTTTATAGATTTTAAGTAAAGCATGCATATGTAATTTTAGGGTATCTAGTGGCCTAACTTAAAATTTTCTCTGTGCTTTATAGATTTTTTCATATTTAGTCTACTGATGTCAATTTAGTTTGGAACTTAAAAATAAATGCTTTGAAAATAAGGGGTTAGAGATAAATGTATTTTCTTCTTTTTAAATCGAACCCTTGACGAACCATTTATTTTTACTTTTCTATTTTGTTTCATTATATAAAACATGCACATATAAAGCTAATAACATGTGTTAAAAAAATTTCTTTGCTGCTAACGTGGGTTGATAAATTAAAAGTGATAGCCTAATTTTTTCTCAATGTAGATCTAGATCAATAATTAGGTAATGAGAGGATAATTAGGTAATGAGAGGACAAATATGAGAGGTTTTTTCACTTATATCTATTCATACCATAAGTTAAGTTCGTGGTCACATTGGCACGATACCAAGTCAAGAATACTCTTATTACTAAATTGGCTATCACTTTTATTTTGAGCAATGATTTCAGGGATTGTAGTAAACAACGTTGTCATATAATAGAAAAATTATATGACCAATTCATATGATCAATGATTTCAGTGATAGCCTAATAGAAAATTTTATTTTGAGCAATGATTTAATGAATTTCACTAACAACATTATAAAATAAGAAGCTAAAACTGATGACCAATTCACCAATTTAAATCATTCTTTCTCATTCAAATCAATAGCAAAAGTCAATCTTAAACAACAAATCTAATTAAAATCTAATTCTAAACATAGATTAAAACAGATACTAATAAGACGAATAGATCTTGGACATTGAAAGGGGAATGGAAACTACCTTTCTATTTCTCTGCTCCATTTCTCTTAGGTCATGGCCATACCACCATCTCCTCTACCCCAGGCTCTCTTCCCCTCCTCTATTCCTCATCAACTATCTTTATACCTTCATCTCGTTGTTCATCTCCTCTAGTCGAGATCATCATGAACCAATGAATAGGATTTCTAATTCAGAAATCGATTGTCTCACATGTCATCTACCTTCTAATCATGATGCCCATTATTTAAGTATTGTGTGAAGAAAGCTTATTTGATATTGGAAATTTTTATAGAGCAAGAGGGCTCTTGATTTCATAACTTGTTTTCCATTAATTCTTAATGAAAAGCACCCACTAACATTGGTCATTAATTCTCATAAAGAAAAAACAATCAATACTTCTAGCATTAATTCATAAAATGTTAATGATGATTAATGACAATGAATTTGGTAAGTGGTTTTTTTATCTACATTTAATATCTAAATTTTAGTATGACTTAGTTATATTTAACTATATTAAATAAATAATAGTTAAATTTTAATTGTATTTGTTTCGATAATAATACTAACATTTTCATGAAGAATAGAACTTTGTTTGAGAAATTTGGTGAAATTTAATGCTAATTATATTTTTATTGAGGAGATGAATAAGTGCAAAGATGAAGTTAATGGCAATAAGTGACAATTAAGAACCAGAATGTGAGAAGTTGTGTATGAGTTGAAAAACTTGTATTTAACGTCGTCCCCACTCAAGATAACTGCTCACCCTTAATAGGCAATGGCAGCCATGAAAACTCCCACGTATACATATATCTAAGTATACTAAATGTCATATGCATTTAATTAATAATTACATAAGGCTATGTTTTTGAGAAACATATGTACTTTCATATGTACATAATAACGTTATTTTCTTGTATGGTTTCATGACCAAAAGAAAGTTTATGTAATTAAATCCTAGAATTACGTATTTTTGGTTTATTAATAATAACGTTCCATCTCTTGCATGGTTTATTAATAAAAACATTATTAATATAACTATGTATATTTATGTAATACATAATTATGTTCCATAAATAAATTGTAACATAATTATGGTTATAAATAAATAGAAGAACAGCAAGCGTTAACTATAAATAAATTGTAACATAATTATGCATTTAATGGTATATTTATTCATATAAAATAGATAATGAGGATATAAAATTGTAATAAAAATATGATTATCACTCACTATCGATGATTCCTCAGCTACTTTTTCTTCTTCCTCCTCATTCGAAACTAGGCGAAGGTGCAAGTTAGCAATGTACAGATCGCCCGCTAACGTGCACCATCAGACTGCCAAATTAAGAAGAAGTATATGATTAAATAGAAACAATTTTGTGAAATAAGATATTTTAATAAAATAACGTGGCATAAATTTTTATAATCGTGAAATAAAAATTTAAATAAAAACAACTTGATTTCTTTTAAATGATATCTCTAAACTTTCTGATAGTTTCTCCATACATAACTCATTGTAATTTTTTACCCTATAAATATTATTAACATTAGATATGAATATTTATACATTATAATCAATTAATGCTAACCTATTATATTATTGTCTTTTATTAGTTTTATGTAATTTAATATTCTATCAATTAATATTATTAGTAAATTATATGCAATTCTTTAAATTTATACAGTAACATTAATTTTTAATCTACCATATATTTTTCTTAAATTTTTATTCCTTAACCGGATACTTTTAATCTATTATAATTGTTATTTTTTACCAGCATCAACCTACACTGCTTTTAGATGCTGAAAAGGGATGATAAACTTTAAATTGAAAGTTAAATTTTTATATCTTAATACAATAATATCAATCATTTACTTTTTTTTCTTTGCCAAATTTTAGGCTTTTTTGATTTTAAACTTTTGAGGGTGTGTTTTGAAATTTTATAAACTTTGATAGTATTTTTTAAAAATTTTAAATTTTAAGTTAGGTGCTTGTAATTTTTATGTTTCATGTGTTTATGGTAAGTTTTCAAATGTTAGGATGTTTCTTACAACTCTAGAATTTTGAGGGTGTTTTTTACAAGTACTAAAACTTTGAATTGTTTTTAAAAAAATTTAAATTTTTAGCGAGCTACTGATAATTTTTATATTTGATGCGTACCTGTTATAAGTTTTGAAATTTTGGGATTTTTGTGATTTTTAATTTTTGAGGGAGGTTTGGTAATTTTTATAACTTTGAGGTTATTTTTTACAAATTTTAAACTTAGTAATCCTTGGAATCAATCTATGTTGTTTGTAAGTTTTGAAATCTCTAAATTTTAGGGTGTTTTTTTGCAATTTAAACTTTTGATGTTGTTTTTTACAATTTTTAAAATATTGAGGGTGTTAATTGTAAATTTTAAATTTTTCAGGGGCTGTTGTTAATTTTTAGATTTTATGTTTTTTGTTTTAAGTTTTGAAAAGACTGGGTGTTTTGTGTAATTTTAAACTTTTGAGGGAATTTTGTGTAATATTTTTGATTTTTTGTAATACTTCATGTATTATAATACATATTTGTCTTCTAAATAGCCCGCAGGCTATATATCATATCACTATATATATATATAAATTTATATTATATATTCATGGATTTTTTGTAATACTTCATGTGATTATTAATTATTTATCTGTAATAGCCCAGCTATATATATATATATACTATATATATATATATATATAAATATATATATACTATTATATATATATTATATATATATTATATTATATATATATATATAGTATATATATATAATATATAATACTAACTAATAATATCTCGATATCGGTGATTTTTTCCGACCTGTCACCATGGCGGTAATTCTTTTCATCTCCTCCCAACAGTATTAAAGGAGAGGAAAAGGGGAGAAATTAGGGTTAAAAAAAGAAGAAGAAGAAGAGGAAGGAGACAGTGAAAGGGAAAGGAAAAGAGAGGATTCCATTTATAAAATTCAAGTTAACCGAAAGGTATAAACCCTTCCCTTTGTTGATTTCTTGATTTTATGAGATTTATGTATTGATTTCTTAAGGAAAAAAATGAGAAAGAGAACTTACCTGACCACCGACGGGGGGTCGGCGGCGACCCCAGGGGGCCTCGCTTCGGGTGGCCGCTCT